TTTTTTTTATTTTTCACCAGAAACATGGAAACTCCTAGATTAGAAGGTGGAAGGATTAATTTGGATGCCCCTCGTTTTGACCAGTCAACATTTCTTGGACGTGCCAAGCACTTTTTCACTGTTACCGACCCAAGGAATATTCTACGTACAGCAAAAGAACTTGATGATGCGAAAGAACTTCTTATACAGTACAGGTACAATGAAACAGTTTTATTTTATATTGACTTTTATCTTTTAGAAATAATTTGATTAGAATCAAAATTTGTCTTTTGCCAACAGACAAAAGAAAGAACCTTCAGGAACCACTGATGCACAAGTATGGAAAGCTAAAAAAGTGTATGAATCAGCATTTCATCCTGACACAGGAGAAAAAATGTTCATTATTGGCCGAATGTCTGCCCAAGTACCAATGAACATGTCAATATGTGGTTGTATGTTGACATTTTACAAGTTAGTATCTATTGTTAAATCATTCTTAAAGCTTAATTTAAATTCTGTGGTCTAATATGGCTTTAGTGTTTCATGCCATAATAACAATTTTGGATATTAACTAGATGTTTGTAGTAACTGGGAAAAAACTGTTTCTTGTGATAGGTGAAGCCTGTTTACAAACCAAAGTGGCTTATCATGGGGCAGATCATCACTCTGGTTTCACAGTCCAAAATGACTAAGACTGTTGCCGAGATGCTAGTCTGTTGTCAGAAGATACCCTTTTCTGTGAAAGTTTCAGTGAAAAAGAGTGTTGTATACCTGTAAATTTATCCTGGGAATGCAAGGATTTTTTGAGAAGAAAAAGAGTTTCCAAAAGTTTCCATGAAATTTCTGAAGATAATTATTGATCCAGTTATTGTTTGTGGTTTTTTCAGGAGTACGTCAGCAGTGCTATTCTGGCAGTGGATCAATCAGTCATTTAATGCTGTTGTTAACTACACAAACAGAAGTGGAGACTCCCTTATCACAAATAAGTAAGTGTTATGTATTGTATGCAATTTTTAATCATTAATACAATATAAACTTTATTTCAAGAGGGTTGTAATGCTAAATAGAGAATAGCACTAATAAACCTGCAGCCCTCAATGAAATTACAAATAATATAAAACACTAGAAATATATAACAAACAATAAATAATAGAATAAAACAAGCAAATGAAAATTAATTACTAACACTACAATTACAGTATAAAACTTGATATACTAATTTAAATAGATGAAAAGTTATTGCTTGGCAAGAGTAGATCACTCTAAAACAAATAATCCCTTAAAAAAGGATTATTAATCTGCCTAATGAATAGTGTTAAACAGACAATTTTTTTTAAGTGCAATTTTCCTTTCCCAGTCAGTCAGTCTGTCTGTTCATCTGTCCATCCTTTTCTGTCCCTCTGTTTGTTTATCCCTCTGTCCGTCTCCCCAATAAAATGTGAAATGTGAATGGAAGTAATAAACTATTAAAGTGAATTATGTAATTTTGATCTCCTTTTGTTCTAGACAACTGTGGACAGGTTATGCATTTGCCACAACAGGAGCTGTTGCTGTAGCCTTGGGATTAAACCACTTAACAAAGGTTAGTATACTTCTGATAGTGTAATATTGGCCATGAAAAACACTGATTGGAGTGTCACTCGTTATCATGAGCCACAAAGTGGAAATAAACTGGCCTTTTGACTTGACAGGAGTGAGATACCCTGTTAAAGTTAAATAAGCATGTGTTAATACATTGTTATTGTTTTATTTTCACAGTCGGCACCACCTCTGATTGGTAGATATGTTCCATTTGCTGCTGTTGCCGCTGCAAACTGCGTCAACATCCCTCTTATGCGACAAACGTACGTGAATACCCACAGTATAGTTAGATAAACTTGTGTAAACTTAAATGTGTTATTATATAAACAATTTGATATTCTGTGAACTTTACTACAGCCAAGGATGTAAGGATATTAGCCATAACAAGAGGATCTGATATCCCACATGCAAATCAAGCTGATATCCTGCCCTAGCTTGTAGCTATAAGTGAAACCCATATCAAGTGGACCCCTATTAAGCAGATACCCTCTGTTAAGTGGACACCAGCTTAATCCCAAAATTTTCTTCCTACATTTACTGTAAAATAAACCTGCATTCAGCAGACACCTCTGTTAAGCAGACATGGACACCAATATTAAGCCATTTTGCTGCACAAAACCTGCAATAAGCGGACACTTCAAAGGCTTTTTACTTCTGAAAACTCAGCTCAGACTCTTTTAACATATTTCAACAATGTCATTTTAACGTTAAGTAGATTATTCCAGATTGATGCATTGACTGACTGGACATTGTGCTATGAGCAGTTTTTGATCTTACACTGTGTTACATGGAGTTACAAAAGGGTTATTAACTATTTAATTGCACAGTATATTAGAAGCTGTTTCGCAGACACCCTGTATTAAGCAGACACCAGTGAGGGTCCCTGAAGGGTGTCTGCTTAATACAGGTTTCACTGAACTTGGTGTGTTAGAAGTGTGTCCTGTTTATTTGGTATTTAGTGATTATATAATTTCATGACTTGTTATTGACTGAAAACAGAGAACTAATGAGGGGAATTCCAGTGACAGATGAAGATGGAAACAGAATTGGGGAATCTAAGGTTTGAGTCATTTTAGGATGCCTGGCTAATTAACTGTTTAATACAAACTTGATAGGTGGAAGCGTGGTGCATCATCTCATGGTTAGTGTGTCCAATGTCGGTATTGAGCAGTGCTTGTTTGAGCCCTGGCCGAGGACACTGGGTTGTGTTGTTGGCCATGGGCAAGACACATGTTTATAAAATAAGTCTCAAAGTGCCTCTCTCCACCCAGGTGTATAAATGGGTACTGGTGAATTTAATGTTTGGGGTAACCTTGCAATGGACTAGCATCCCATCCAGGGGGTTGGGGGCGGGGGGAAGTAGAAATGCCCCTAACTGCTTCATGCTGTGTAAATTGGAGATAAGTACAGGCCTGATGGGCCTCTGGGCTTCAGTATGCAGCCTTACAAACTCGATAGTATCAATCACTTATAAATGACTGTGAGCTGGATTGAGACAGACATGGGTATTGAAATTATACTGAACACGGATCATGCACAGACTTTAGTTCATTATTTTGCCACCACAGTCCAACCCCTAATAAACAGCCACCTTTTAAACAGTCACCCCTATCAAGTGGCCAGTAATAATCCCGATGAGGGCTTTTCCATTGTTTCTACCTCTATTAAGCAGCCAACAGTCCCTTTTAAGCAGCCACTATACAAAGGCAAGATGCTGAGTTTTCATTTCAGTTTTGGAGAAAAAAAATTTAATCTTTCTTGAATACACTACCAATACAAACAGCCTGGCATGTGGTTATTTGACAGCTGTATTGGACACCTTGATTGGTTGTGATCAAGTTCTCTAATGTTTTGTCCAGTTTTATTTAGCTTTATATTGATTGCAGCATAGTAATTTAGATAATTAGCTCAGCTGTTCAGAACCTTATTGCAGTACTTGGTAATGTTTTAGGCTGCTGCCAGGAAAGCCATAGCAAGCGTTGTTGTTTCCAGAATAATCATGGCATCTCCAGGAATGTGTGAGTAAAAAAAAATAATTGTATTTAAATTGTTAGCTAGGGAATGGCAAATGTACCTAGAAAATCATGGGTCACCAATAATTTGGGTCTGGCATGACCTCAAAATCTCAGAAGTGTTTGTGATGAGTCGTGAAACCATGTTTTGTGCTTATCTTTTTGTCTCTTAGTTTAAAATTGTTTAAGGTTTGGTCCCAGATTATCAAATAACAGTATTCTTGAATTGTGGATTTTACCATTAATTTTGTCACCCCTGCCCATTCCTATGCAACCCGTTTTCTTGGTATTAAAATTTAAGAGTGTTCATTAACCTTGTGTGTCTTTTCTCCAATTTTTCTATCCAGCCATCCCACCAATAATTATGAACTATCTGGACAAAAAGCCTTTCATGAAGGTGAGTGTCATGTTGTGTTGTGTCCTTTTTTGGGTGAATATTGTTTCACTCAGTTACATTCTGCCTAGAAATGAGAATATTTCATCTTTATATTAAAATCTGGTTTGATTCAAAAAGTCAGTGATGGATTTTTTTGTCATTCTGGTGTCANCAAATCATCTACTATGTAAAATATGGTGTCTTGCCACCCAGAATGCACTATTAGATAAGACAATAAAAGGCAAATAAACCTTGAGAAAAAAAGGTTAAATTTTCGAAGACAAAATAAAAAAAAGATAGAAATGAGAATAGACCAATTGAATTGAAGAGCAAAAAATTCAGTATATAAAAGAAAAAAAGGTTGCAGATTTTGGAACGAGGATTATCACTCACTGACATGTAAGAACCAGAATAAAATTGTATTGGGAATGATGTGTGCAATACTGAATTTTTTACCTTTTCTTCTTTAATGTATAAAATAAATATTGTCTGATCTAAAACAAGAAAATTTAATTTGTCTTGCAAAGTCACTTACGTCCTGAACTATTGATGGAAATGGGGTTTGTTTATTAAATCTGCTTGATAATGTGTAATGCATAATAAACTGTTTACTTGTTTTTTGTTTTGATTTCCATACTGCAGCTCCATAGCAGTCTCAAAACTTGAACCTGAGCTTCAAGAAATTATCAAGAAAAGAGGTGGAGCTCCAATGAAATATGTGTACTTCAACAAGGGACTTTGAAGCCTCCTTTTTAGATATTTAATTATTAATTAATACTGAGTCTAGAATTTGTATGATGTACAGAGCATCAGGTACTCTACAACGTGTCGTTAGAAAACAACTGAATTTTAATATTGCTTACATGAAGTAGTTGCAGAACAGTTACCTCCTCTGTGATCCATACTCACACCTTTTACTTCCAGAATCAAATTAAGTATGTCTCTATTTACTAAAAATGTGAAGTGTATTATGCAGTACAAGGTGGCTGCATGGTGTGACCATTCCTAATAATTTAATGAAGACAGCAGGAAGCACTTTGATCTGGTGCCGTTGGAATTTTTAACAAACTTTCAATATAATTATATGAGTTCAGTGTGCACTTAGGAGTGCAGACTTTGAATTTGGTGATCTCATAGGCAGGAATAATCACTTCAAAGATATTTTTTAAAAATTTAAAGCACATAAGCATGTCTTGAAACCTACCTTGGTAAATGGTGGAAATGCATTTATTCACATCTAATATTCAGTCATGTAACTGGCTGTTTTATAACAAAATAAATTATAGACCACTCAAATCAGATTCCTCTAAGTCAATGAACACATTAATGTATCAACCATTGGTATTAATTAATGAGTCATTAATTAATTAATAGCAACATTATTCTTATTTAACTTCTTATTTTTAACTTATTTGCCAGAAATAAGATATTTTTCAATGTATCAGTTTTTAGCAATAAGAATATATCAAGGGTTTTTGATTTTCACATTCCTATAGATAAATTCAGATATAAAATTTAGGAAGTGATATTAGTTGGGACTGGGAGGGTTAGGTTATTTTTTGTTGTGGAAATTAATTAATGTTATTAGCACAGTATGAAATGCATGGCTGACTTCAGTTTTTTAGTAGCATCCCTTTTAATTAGGCAGGGTCCACACTACTCCAGAGAAATTTGAAAATTTCTATTGCCAAGGCCTATCATCCAAAATAATTCGTCATGAAAATGGAACTGTGTGTGTAGTTATAACTGGCTATTTCTGTTGCAAATATACAGCCAAGGGGGATTCTCCATATCAGTATGCCTTTGTTGAGTTTGTGTACAGAAATAACCAGATTCTCTATGTTTGTTCATTGTAGACATTATATCCAGCTTTGTTTTATCAGATTAGCACTGTTTAAAGGTGCGACTGCTAACAACTGAGTGTCTTTCAATAAAAAGAACCAAAACTATACTTGAGTGGGTGTCCTGCTGTGTGATCTGGGGAAATGGTTGAAGTCCTTTGTGTATGATTTCTTTTTAATCCTCCACCTGGAAAAACAGAAAGGAACAAATGGCTGGATTGACAAATTATAATGCCTCTGAAACTGAACCGATTTTAGTGCTAATTTGTGGCAGAAGTGTTGCAGCCCCTGTAAGCTTGTAATTCTGTTTGTTGTCATGGTGTAGCAGCTGTTATATTGTTTTGAGGCTAGGGAGATTGTTTCTGTTGTTTGTTTTATTGTCCTCTGAAAGGGTATCAAGTCATTCATGTCAGACCTTACGAGAGCTGCTACCTGACTCATTTGGGTTGATGAGGCAAAACCCAACATGATTTTTGAACAGCTGAACATACATTTTTCAAATGTATATATAAATATATAGACAAATATATTCACCTAATACATTTTTGGAGCTCCATCCCCCCCACCCCCTGCATCTAAGTCTCCATACCCCATAACCTTGTGATTTGG